CCAACTGGAGCAGGCCCTTCAATCTCATGTGTTCTTGTGGCCACCCAGCTCACTGGCCATGTTCTTGGCATAGCATTTAATAAATGGCAACAGTAATTCTTGCTGAATCTACCTGGACCAGACCTGAGTTATAGAGAACAATCTTAGCTTTTCTCCAACAGAAACAGATCACATTTATGAGCAAAATAAAATCAATTGCGGCGGGGGACTGTTTGTGTTTTTTGAAATTTCTTTTTATAAACTAAAGCTCATTTTCCCCAAAGTACATTTAATCTACTGCTAAATAAATTTGAAATGAGAATGAAGGATTGATGTATACAGTGGTATTACGAACAGAAAAACTAAATTCATATCCTTTAAATATTCTTATAAATTCTGTTATGTTTTTCAGTCTAAAATCAGTTAGTCTTATTCAGCAGAATCCTGCCTCATCATTCATGTTTAGGTCCTGAGCCAGTCTGAGATTTGACTAGCCAGCCAGCCTAGCCTCTCTAATCCCCATTAGCACATGATCTCAGACAAACAATCTGTGCCTGTGCCTAGAAATGTGGGCATTGTACAAGACACAGAATTTGCAAGCTGTTGAGTATAATTTATTAGTTTGCATTTGAAAATCTGGGGCTTTATTCATGCACTTCTTCTTACTCTTTTCACCAATGACCACATATAGATTTTTGTGTTTCCTACTGTAATTTGGTATTGATAATACCTTATATAAAATAGCCTATATCAGAAATGTTCCCTTTGCGATTAATTTGTATGATCGCTTTAAAAATTGTCTTACGTATTTTTTCTTTAGCATATACAGGGGAGTCACATGATATGCTCAAAGGGACTTGGGGGCAGGTCTTTTCATTTACCTGGTTAGAGGATTCCCCACCCAAACTGAATGGTAACCCCAACTACTTCTAAGCAAAGGGAGACCAGAGATGCAATGCAAAGAAACAAAATAGCTAATGTCCATAGGCCTGGATCCAGGGACATTTTTGAGGGTCATGATGACTATATGCAGTTTTTGCCTCCAGAGCTTCACCCAGTATAAAATGTAACACCACTGGATAAGGAAAATTAAGCATTTGATGCATTGTTGTGCTGAGTGGCTGAGGTACCTAAAATAGGCAAGCATACATGAAAATCCAAATTTATAATGGGAATTCAGACTTAACTCTTAAAATGACTATCCATGTTGCAAATTCTGCCCCACACTTTGGATGTCATCATTTAAAGATTGTAAAACTTCAGTAATCAATGGAATCCTATAAGTTAGTATATTAGCTATCTGTCTTAGCTTGAGTATCAAATAGTGAATCTGTCAAGGGAAGTCTAATTTTAAAAATGATATTCATTTGTAATAGTGTTGGTTTCTACCATAGCTATCATTAGTAAACAGAGAAATCTCATTTAAACCAGAGCCAGTAAACAAAAATAAGAGATTCAGTGATACAATTAAAGAAAGAGTTCTAACCTGTTTTTAAATATATGTGCAAAGAGTGGATCATTAGGTTTCATAGTGAAATTTGAGATTAATTTACATCTTCATGTTTGAGAAGACAAAGCTGCCCCCTTTTTTTAAGGGACTTTGGCTTTGTGGCATGTGGTAGGCATAGCTCTAGCACTCATTCAGTCTTAGCCAGGAGTCCTGAACAGGAGACAGGCATGAAGTGCAGGAAGGGGCAGAACTCATCACCTTCGCCCTTGCTGCTGCTGCTGCTGGTGCTACCTCAACTAATCACACCACGTACTCCTTTGTTAGGTGCTTACGAGAGGGTAAGTTCACATTCCTTGATCCAGAAAGAACAGTTCAGAAAAGCAATACCTGTCTGGCAGTAGAAAGTGGAGCAGAAAGCACTGACAGCTTCTGCACTGTATGGGGCCTCAGAAATCAAAATACTATTGTGATGCCATAGGAAGTGTCTCAGCTCCACAGAAACCTCCAGATATTCAGTTTTAGGAGTTGCAGCAGATGCCAGAAACAGCAACTGTCTCTTAAATTGTACCTTCAATGCCCTATTAAAATGCTGTCCTATCCTTTCCTGTGCTACCTGAGTCCCCTTACCCCCATATCCCCAGCAGCCAAATCCTGCCTAACACTGTCACAGACAGCACTGGCTCGGTACCTCTCTTATATGGTAGTTACTTCTGTATGTGTCTCATCTACAGAGCCAGCCTTTAAATTCCTGCACACAGAGGCTGCTCAGTAAGTAGGTATTGAACCAGTGAGGTCACTGTTCTCCAGGTAGTCTACTGCTGGAGAAGACATTGAAGTACTCGGCCCTAGCAGGGCAGACTTGCAATCCCTCTTCCTTTGTACAGGGATAAAAGATCTTTGGATCAACGCTAGTCATTTCAAATGAATTCTTACATAGTGTTTTACTTATTGTGACAAATATCTGTCAAACACTGACAGGGTACTTAGCACTCTGAATACAAAGGAGTGCTCATCCCACTTAGAAACAGTCAACGCTAGTCATTTCAAATGAATTCTTACATAGTGTTTTACTTATTGTGACAAATATCTGCCAAACACTGACAGGGTACTTAGCACTCTGAATACAAAGGAGTGCTCATCCCACTTAGAAACACAAACTCCCAGCTAAATAAAAGCAATGTGAAAAGTGCCATAAACATAGTTCATAGAAAATACAGTGAGTGCATGAAGAAGGGAGTGGCTAGTTCTGCCTAGTGATTCATTCAGGTCACTGTCTCAAACCAGGGTCCAAGTCCTACTGCATGAATTGAAGAGAAAGTCTCAAAGGGCAGGTGGCTGATTTTTAAGCACCTGTTTAACGGCATCAGAATCAAATTGACGGTTATATGAATGAGATAAGTTGATATCCTTCCCTTTCCTCTCTTGCATTCTAAGAGGTTCTGTACCTTCCTAGACCCCCAAGTAGCTGGGAGTAGCTGCTTCTATAAGATAAACCTGATTTTTTTTAATGGCTTTCAAATGATACAGGAGCACTTAGCCAAAATCTAATATCACTTCATTTAGAATAAAATTTCTAAATGCAGCCATAGGATATGCAAAATAAAAGTGATTGTAAATAAAACTTCATCATAGATGGTAAATTCTCTGAATCCTAATATTTCTACATTGACTCATTTCAACAAATATTCACTGAGTTCCTGGTGTGTGCCAGACTCTGTTCTTGGAATTAGATATACAGCCTCTGGCTCCTGTCAGCTTCCTCTGCAGACCTTTGACCAGCAAGTAGCAAGATGCAAAAGTCAGAGAAAGAGTCTGACAGGCGCTCTTTTTATAGTGATATTTATGAAGCATTCAGAGACCAAATGTTGAATGGCAAAGTGAAGAGAGGAATGAGACGACTTTCTGTATAATCCCGTCACAAATTCCATTTTGAAGAGGCAGGGCCCAAACCCCTTCCTACATTATCTGAATAATATAAGCCATGCTCTGAGCACTCTTTATTTTAATCATTGCATGCTGGGCATTTTGAAAAGCAATAGAACAAACAAAAATAATAATTCTTGTTCTCTAAAAGAAACACTAAATTCTGAATCCTCACATTTCTAATACGATTTAGGAAACCTAAAGTAGCACCAGGTTTGCAGTGATAAATATGAGATCTAAGAGTAAGCTTTGACAGTGCATCTTATTTAAGTGAGTTTTCTTCTGACTTTTTTCCTAATAAAAGTTTAGGAATTGTATTTTTTCATATTAAAGTTATTATTTTAGAGCTACTGTGTTATAACCAACAGAAAATGACTTGATAGTTTGGATTATGATGAATGAACTTTTATCTGTTCAACATAACCTTATTGAGTGCCTACTATGTGCCAGACCCTGGAGCTACAAAGTCTGAGTTCCAAGCCTCAGGAAAGGCTGCAATCTAATAAACAATTCTAGTACAGTGTAATAAATACAGTCATGTACATGTGTCAAATGAAGAGCGGTAACAGAGAGTGCATGGCTGCCTCCATGGGCAGGAAAGAGGTAGGAAGGGCTTTGGAGAGGAAATATGGCATAAGCTGGGATGAAAGACGAGAAGGCAAATTATAGGCTGGCCAGTTAGCTTAGTTGGTTAGAACTTGATAACCCAAGGTCCAGCATTCGATCCCTGTACCAGCCAGCTGTCAAAGAAAAGAAAAAAAGAGAAGACAAGTTGTAAACATCCATGGCATGCTGCTAGAGACTGCACTATTAGTGTCCAAGCTTGTGTTATCATACGATACAGTCCAGGTCAAAAGTCACCTTGTAGGTCTTCTAATCCTGTATCCCAGTCAGAAAACCCCTAACAGGGAAGCAATGTGACTAGTGCCTTGATTTTCCAAGGGTGATGTGGGACATAGGTTCAGATTTTCCTCCCAAAAGTAGGGGTGGGTAGTAGATTAAAACTGCCTGGGAACCTGCTCATATCTTTATTTTATGTATTAGTTTACATAAGTTTTCACTGGGGAACAAAAATAGTTTCACAGCTAATAACCAACGGCATAGTAGAAGGAACAGGGGAACTGTGGGGTAGCCCTGTATTTGTGTTTATGAACACAAATTAATAGAAATTAAATGAAAGAAATTAAATTATTTGATGTATGAGAAAGCGATCTGTAAACTGTAATGTACTGATCACGTTTGAATTATGTGTAAGTCATTTTTGTTATGATCTCTTTGGACCTCAGTTCCTTTGTTTACAAAATGAGTGTTTCATCCAGGTGTCACAAGTCCCCTTGAACTCTAGAATGATATGATTTTGTGATTCTCCAACCATCTCTTGACTATTTCTAAGAACAGGAATGCTTTTTCAGTGTACTCCTTTCCATTGCTTTTGACAAGACTTAATATTGGAATTAGAGCATCTTGTTTTTTAAATTATAACTAATCATTGGTTTTATAAATTGCAAATACTGGCACACAGAGCTGAGACCGTATCATTTACAGGATATGGATATTGAACAGTTAGTGATGTTTTTTCTTGCACATATGCCCAAAGTCAAATGCTTCAAATCTTGCTTTTAATGAAATATTTATGTTCTTTTGGTAGCCAGAAGTGCAACTTGCCGAAGGCTTTGATGTGTTTATGCCCAAATCTCAGCTGGACTCTATATTGTCAAACTACACTCGCTCAGGAAGCCTTCTGTTTAGAAAACTGGTGTGTGCATTTTTTGATGACAAGACTTTGGCTAACTCCTTACCCAATGGGAAGAGGAAAAGAGGACTCAATGACAACCGGAAAGGACTAGACCAAAATATTGTGGGTGCAATAAAAGGTTGGTCTGCATCATTTCATTTTATGGGTTCTTTATCGAGTTTTGCCTTCATTCCATAAAGATGCGGCTGAAATTGCAGTAGACTAACTAGAGGATAATTTAATTTGCCATTGGCAATTTACCCATTGGCATGGCTTTTAGGTGTGAGCTCTGTAACTTACCACCCCAAATACCACTAGAATTTGGTATTTCAAGGTGATGTTAATTTGTAAAAATAATTTAAGAGCCAATTTGATCTGCTGCAGAACCAAAAAAACTTATTTGACTTGTTTAATGAAGGTATTTTTCTTCTCAGTAATTTCTAACTAAGAACGTCATAGAAATATGGTTTAAACTTAAATTTTTAGTTGTAAATAAGAATAAAGCTATGATTTTTTTAAAAAATAAAGTAAACCTGTTTTCTCCGAAGTTCAGAAGTTGCTTTACCAGGTCATTGCTTCTAAAGACATTTTAAATCTAAGTGATCCCGCTAGGAAGCCAAACCCCATGTATCCCCGTACATCCCTGCTCTGCTCCCTCTTGTTTGGTGACATGTTGGGCCTGCCGTAGGTCTCTCCCCCTTGACTCCTTTAAGCATGTGTCTGTATACCACTGTGTTATGATAACCGTGCAGGTGCATGGACAGATGTATCTTCATCTCTATCCAGTGCCTCATCCTAGAACTAGTTCTCAACTTTAAAATGTCCTTATCCGGGACTCTGATGAATGTAACTTTAAGAAGTAGAAGTGTTTAAATATTATTATCAAAATAATGTAAATGAAGTCTCAGATCTAAGCACAACTACCATGAAAATGAACTTTTGAAGCAAGCCTTAAAACTAGACTGCCTGATAAGGATGTTCTTCTCTGGCTCAGGTCCCCATTGTTTGGCTTGTGTAGTGGGAGTGAGGCACAGAATCTCCCCTGCCCCTGCTTGCTCCCCGTTATCTTGCAAAATGAGTAAATTAATTTAATAGTATTTGAAAGGTACTTGGAAAACCACAATTAACTTTACAAAAATAATACGGCTTTTAAATGGAGTTATCAAGTACCAGACACCTTTTTTTCATGGCCAGGACATAGGCCTTCATTAACAGAAAATTTCACATGCTCCATCAGAATTTTTTTACTTAAAGTGAAGTTGAGTTGTGTTAAATAAGAAAAGCTACAGAGATATCACAATCTGTGCCATTTTTGAAAAGAATGATTCAGCCTGAAGTGACACTGAAAAGAAGATTACAGGACTTGAAAAATGGTCAGTGATGTAACTGGGACTTGTTGAGGTGAAGAAGGGTCCTGTTTCGATTTAATCTTGCTGGGGCCTTCTCGAAACATGAAGGTCAAAGCTACTGATGCTTTTCTGAAATACAGCCGATATTTGTTGTAGTGTTTTTTTTTTCTGGACAGCATATTAACATTATGAAAGTGTTTGGAAATTAGGGCACCCTAATAATAGATGGTAATGAAATAGATCATTACAAGTAGACTGATAGACGTTTATTCTACCATGTTTGATCTAGACTGGACATCATAGAAGAGTTTTAAAAAGTGTATTACAGACAGAAATAGAAGACACACCTTAATTTTCTTCACAGCCCTAGTCTTTAGCTAGAAATAAAAATGGCAATGAGAACTTTGGTCCTAATACATTATAAAGTAAATTATTACATAATACATAATAAAGTTCTTAATATAAAGAACTTAAAATTTCCATATACATTTTTATTATTGAATTAAGTCTGTCATTAAAATTCTATTATAACAGCACAGTAACTTTAAAACAGATAGAAATCCACCCATAAGCTACCAACAACCCAAATCAACAAATATTTTATATTCACTTGCTTCACTGCAGTGTTTATACAGACATATGTTTTTTCTTTTTTCCTTTTTGTCTTTTTTCGTGACCGGCAATGGGATTGCAACCCTCGGTGTTGCGCCCGCACCGCGCTCAACCAGTGAGTGGACCGGTCTCTATATGGGATCCAAACCCTCGGCGGGAGCGCCACTGCACTCCCAAGCGCCACACTCTACCGAGTGCGCCACCAGGCTGGCCCTATACAGACATATGTTTTAATTTTGATTTTTTTTTCCTGATTACAGAAATAATCCATGTTTATAAAAAATCCAAATCAGAAAAATGTATACAAAACTAAAAGGCCTCCATAATCTCACTCCTCAGAGGTTATGTACATTTCTACAAGCTTTATTCAAAGTATGAATATGGTATCAGATTTGTCTTTTTTATAAGAACATTCTGTTCATACTGGCCAGCCAACATTTTTACCAGATTTATTCTAATAATTTTTATAAGCTCCTTGAGGACAAGCTTTGTCTTAAGTATCCTTTATTACCTCTTGCACTTGAAGGAATTCACGAAATGCCACCCCAAAATGTGCCACATTGGTGTGATGATGACTTCAAACTCAGGTCACTTGAGAATAGCAAATGCAAGGAGGGGCTTTCTGTGAATCCCCCTTATCTTCCTAAAGACAGAGTCTCCAGAAGGAACTCAATTGTCATGAATCCCTTCCCTGGGAATTTCATGAACCAGGGTAGGATCAGCTAAGTTCACAGGAGAAGAAATTGGAGGTGCATAGCACACCCAGACTTTGACATTGGCTCTCACCTGTTCTTCTGAGGGCCATTCACCTTTCGCCCAAATCCCTTACTCTCCCCTAAGTTGCCCACATTCCTCCCACTCCCTCTCCTATGAAAAGGGTACATAAGCTTCTAGATCTCACTGAGTTTTCCATATTCACTGTTCTTTCACGTGATGCCACATGTGCGTAATAAATTTCTATACCTTTTCTCCCATTAATCTGCCTACTGTCAGTTTATTTAATAGACTCAAATATTGAACCCTCAGAGGGCAAGTTTTCCTCCCCTACACACTTAACTGAGAGCTTTATACAGAGTAGGGTTTCTGTAAATAGAAGCTGGGTGAGTGAATAGGCATAGGTTTTTATTTTTTATCTTGATTTTACCTTCAATTTATTGACATATAGAGTCTAGTGCTAAACATCCATCTTCATATCTTCTCATAACTAATTTGGAATAATTGATATCAAAACATTGTTGTAAATTTCTGCCAGTTAACAAAATGCCAATGAAAGTAAAACAGTGGAAACCAAAGTTGAATATAAATTTCAGTACAACTCTTTTAACTCCCTAATATATTTTTCCTTTACCACACTTTCCCAAGGTAAAAGTTAATTAATGCACATATTACAGTTCTCATATAAAGTGATTTTTGGAAGTGGATATTAATTGAATAACTATATGCAGTTTTTCTTGCTATGGGGAGGAAGAAAAAGAGAAAATTATTTCCCTAGCCCACGTCTTTTGAATCCAACTAATCAGGGAAAGTGATAAAATGGTTACTTTCTATATAATAGTGCCCCAGCTATCAGATTTATTACTACTGTCTAGCACACACTTGGAAAAGATTTTATAAATATCCAGTCTTTCTTACTCTGTCCCTTGTGGGATAGTACATCAACAGTGTATTAATTTTAAAAGTCCTGTAACCTAGGAACATATGAAGACTGGTTAATTTTATAAATTCTCAGAAGTAAAAATAATGGTAGGGGCTCAATTTGGTTCTAAACAAAGGTAATTCAGTTGGTTAAAACAACGATAAGAAAAAAAGATGAATAAAAATCTATAAAATGCTTATAAATAGGAACAGAAATGGACTGGAAAATAAAACTTCATTGTGGGGATTATTAACAAAGCTTTTTGTAGTGATAATTAATATCCCCCTTGACAGTGTCTTGAAAATAAAATATAAGCCTCTTTGTAGAGATCATATTTTTCACATAATCGCATCTGTTTTATGGTGACTAACTTAATGGTAATTCATTAAAAATTCTTTGATGAGTATGACCCAATGTACTGCTGATGAAAAGATCCTTAATTGGAAACACTCACCTGAGCACTTTGAGCTTGAGTCTGGAAAGAAGGAACTTATTAAGTGGAGTCTTAGGCTTTAGTGCTGAGGATAAAGCTTAGCGTCTTGGATTTGATTCAGAATTGATTTCATAGCCAGAACACAGAGTGGAGGTTAGTTTCCAGCTCCTTCCTTTATGCTGTACCTGCTGAGCCTTCCATTGGTCTACCACCTAATTCTTGCTATGACATACTCAGTAGACCACGCAGTTTGACTTTGAGTTACCTAAATGTGGTATAACCATTGAATCTCTGAATGCTGTTTAGAAAATATAGTTGGAATAAAGCAATTATTAGAGCCCCAGTTGTGATTTTTAGTTCAGCTTCATAGTTTTGTTACTATCAGACTCTACTGGAGTCTTGAATCCTTTTGCATTTGAAGGGAACTACATATGCATGTCAAGTGACAGAACTGGCCGACAGTTCTTCGTTTACTCCATGCAGTGCAAACTGTCCCTCTCCTGAGAAGTGTGTGCTGCTCATCTGCTAGGTATCCACAGGGATCAGGACTTCTTTGGGAGGGAACACATCTTGGTTGGTGGTACTCCAAAAAATTAACTGTGCTTCTTACAAGATTAGAAAGCCTGACTACATTTAATGTAATTTAATGTCACCCCTTCACAGTCTACCAAAATGACCCCCAAAACCTCTCTTTTTATTCCAGCGGCTCTAGAGACTTGCAGGGTCCATATTTGTCATTTCGTAACACCTTTATTTTCTATTGTTATTATATATCATTGTTTATTTGGGGGGGAGGATTTAATCAAGAAATGTGAACAGCTGCTTTCTATTTGATTTCACATAGATTTAAGTTAATATGGTTAGGGGTAGAGTTTGTATCTAATTTATTATTTCTTGATAGTATCTTCTTTGTATTCTCAGAACTCCCTGTGAAAACAAGGCTGAAACCTAAGGTTGGATTTGAATATCCCGAAAATGTTCATGGTTTTATTTCCATTTTCAGTAGAGGAAACTGAGGCTTTGAGAAATTAAGTAAATTTACTTAACGTTAAACAGCTAGTAAGCAGTGGAATCAGGATTTAACCCAAGGCCTCTCTGACTCAAAAGCC